CCAAACCTTCAAATGTGACTTTCTCTATCTTCCTGATCCCATAGCAAGAATTATACCCTTAGTGTTCCAATAGTATTTTAAACGTAATTCTTTTAAAGTTTAGTACATTATACTTCAGTTGTTTACCTCCATTTCAGACTAAGAATTTCTTAGAGCAAACATCATTTATTTCATACCAAACTTATAATATTCAATACGTATAATGCCAAGTACTTAATAGTACTTTAACAGGTGCTCCAAAAGGCCTAAGTAATTTTTAACACTAGAAAATTTCAGTAGCAAAACCAAGTTAAATATACCTTTTTACACTACAGTGGAACCCCAATCATAGCCTTTTCCCCTAGGAAATGTGTTCTGAGTAATAAAATCTCTCCTAAGAGAAACTTAAATTTTTGCATTTCATTTCAGAATGTTCACGGACCCCAATAATCAAATTTCACCTCCCTATCAAATACTATGGTTGGCAGTTTCCTTTCTCACAAAATAGAAGCTGGCACAGTAGAAAGAGGTCAGGCTGCAGGGCGTCAAAATCATCTAATACTGGCTCCTACACTTGGCTTAAGCTCTAAGGCTCAATTTCCCAATTTTTAAAATGGGGTGAATATTTATCTATTTTGCTAATTTGTTTACTTTGTTACAAATTACTAAAGTACCTAGCACAACATGGACATAAAAATTTCTTTTTAATTACAATGGTGTCATTCAACAGGCATGGACTCTGTTTGCCACTATTGCAGCGGTTCTCAACCTTCCTAATGCTGCAACCCCTTAATACAGTTCCTCATGTTGTAGTGACCCCCAACCATAAAATTATTTTCATTGCTACTTTATAACTGTAATTTTTCTACTGTTATGAATCGTAATGTAAGTATCTTTTTGTTTTCCGATGGTCTTAGGCGACCCCTGTGAAAGGGTCATTCGACCCCCAAAGGGGTCGCGACCCACAAGTTGAGAACCGCTACACTATTGGGTTGTCGGAAAAGTCATGACATATTTTTGCAACGAAAAACAGAAAAAATACATCATGACTTTTCCAACAACCCAATATTTCACAAAAGTAAGATAATGCAGTTGCACTTGCTACTTGCAAAATAACAGGAAAGGTAGAATTCATAATTCAAATATTTGTAGTATGGAACTGTTTGTAATTAAAAGTAAAATCTGAATTATTTTTCAATTTGCTCAAATTAATATTTTACCTTAAATGTCCTAGGTTTACAGTAGTGTGACTGCTGACTTTCTTTTCACAAAGGTGTATCAACAGATCCATGGGACTCATATGATCAGAATTCAGTTTTCTTTATTCTATATTAATGTACTCTTTGTAAACATACCCACAGACTGCGCCTGACACATAGCAATCAGTAAGTTTCTTGTCATTAATAACAACCATAACTTTAGAATCTAAAATTATAAATTATTACTTCCCAGCCTCAACCCATTATCAACTGATAAATCAATATAATAAAAAACAAGCTTCAGTTTTCTCCAGATATTTAATGTAAGGTGCAGTGTAGCCATATTCTATGAAATGTGATTACCGATAGCCCTCCTGAATCAAACAAGCATTGTGATACAGCTGAAAGACTTACATAGATGTACTCGTTCTTAGTTTGATAAATAAGGTTGTCTCTTGTGCTGTTTCTACTCTAGGAAGTTATACACTTTATAGATGAGAAACACAATCAACTCTACTGGTTTGAGTTCTAAGTTATATTTACTATCGAGGGTTTTTTTTCCAATTAAGATAAGAAAACGCAGCCTTTGGTATAAATAACTTATATCCATGACAATATTTAAAGGATATCCTTAGTGTTCAGTGTCAGTTGTATAGTCTTTGGGTAAGGGGGAGGCTAGAGCCTCTTTGCTCTCAGTAAGTGCTCTGGGCTGATGGATAAACACACTAAACTTAACGCCCTGATTGTTGGCAGCTCTGACAAAACCACTATTGGCAGTCATTGTGATCGCTTTTAGGGTGTCTCCTGTCCCGAAAATCGTCAATGAGCGACTATTGATTTTTGAACTGGCTACTAGTCTCAAGGCACGCTCAGAAGGCTGGTCTGGGACCACATTCATTCGCTTAATTAGCATGGTGGCCCTCTCTCTCTCACTAGGTCCTCCCAAAGTATCTAGAATTGACTGAAAATCCTTGACAGCCGATTCACAAGCAAATAGCTCCTTGTCCTTCATAAACGCCTCCAGCTGTGGTAGAACCTGCTCTTTCCTCTCTTGCTCTGCTTGTTCTGTGAGCACTTTTTCTTTAAAGATAAAGTGGCAACCTCCATAGCTAAGAGCAGATACATAGGTGATTAAAGTAGTGATGTCCAGATTTACTCTTTTGCACACATCCACCTTAATCTCTGTTGGAAACGCAACACTTGCTAATATATTGTCTCGGTCTACCCTAGTCACCTGCAAAAACTCAGGGCCTTCATCATCTGATTCACTCTCACTCGACTGGAGCTCTTCAGGGTGATCTAACAGAGAGTTAACTGCTACGATGTCTCCTCTCACAGATATGCCCATTTCTTTCAGCTTCTCTGCCATAGGGCTGGAGACACTGTTGTAGAAGGCAAAGATGATGTGAGGATTGCTATACTGTACTGGCTGCTGGTGACTGGCCTGAAGGAAGTCTTCTGCTTGCTTGATGATGCTTTTGTCACCATACTGGCCCCTGCCCAACCAAATGTTGTGCAGAGCTTCAGCCTTTCGGCCAATTGCTTTCACCCAAGTGTGGCCCCCATTTGCAACAACATCCACCACAAGGCTCTGCTTTTCCCCCAAGGTATCTATATAACCAAACACATGGAGAACACTAATGACTTCTTCCAGGTTCTCTGCCGAGTCCACTATGGCTCTCAGGTGTGTTAGATTAGTGCTCTGTAAATGGGATTCCTTAATAGCTACTTTCCCAGCTTCTACTTTCTGTAAAAATTTTAGTTCAGCCTTCAACTTGCTGCACAGCTTTGCACCACCTTCAATGCCACCTTTTCTTGATCTAGAAAGTGATTCTGCTCTCTTGATTAGTTCCTTGGCTATGGCGATTCGTTCACAGAGCATGGAGTGTGCAGACATGCTGACAGCATTATTCCTTTCCTATGAAAAGAGACAAGGCAAATTGAAATAGTCCTAAAAATTATGACAGTCAATTCTTCACTGAGGATTACAAAACTTCAATCTAGCAACGAAGTGTACGGAGGATGAGTCTGGGAAACTGTGCTTCTGCATGTCTGATTTTGGAGTGACTCCCTCATTTGACAGCTAAGGAAAGGATGATACCTACACTTCTGAACTCTTAGGCATGCTGGATTCTGACATACTTTAGACCTTCATTTCTTCAGTTTGAGGTTATGGAGTCCACAGCATAACCCAGGTCAGGATTAAATGCAGGAGTTCAGCAATCTGCTACATAATAAATTCACTATCAGCAGCCCCTCTCTTTGGTTGTAGAGAATTTTTAATAAAAGCTCGGAAAGTCAAGATAAAGTGATTAAAATAAAAATATCCACACAGGCTAGCTGGTTAGCAAATTGTCCAAAGCAAGTCTCTCTCCATTAAAGTGACCACACTAAAGCTTTCTAACCTTTCCTTCTTCACGAGTTTCCTTTAACTGGTGATTATCTAGGGGAACACGGTACACCCGCCAAGGAATCAATACTACCTCGTTCCTGCATTTGACGTCAACTAGCACATTCTAAAGACTGACGGAACCCACTAAGTTGGCTCCCGCTCCCACTGCAAAGGAAAAGCCCGAAGATCAGCTAACGTCCACGGTGCAGCCCGCGGCGGCCCGGAGGTCGGCGGGGCCTTCCGGGCGGACTTCGGACCCTCGGGCCCTGCGCGGTCCACCTACACGGCCGAGCTAGGCAGGCATGGACTCCAACAGCTCCGCGGCCTGGGCCAGGCAGTGGAGGCTGGGGCAGGAGGAGGGCCCGCCGGCCCAAAGGGGGCTCCCCTCCCCGCCCGGCCTGCCCAGCTCCCTCCCGGCCTCAAAGGGGCGCTCGGCGGCTCCCTCCTCCCGTCCCTCCGCCGGCTCCTCACCAGCAGCGTCTAGGACCGCGAGCGCGAGCAGCCGGCACGGGCGCGCGCGCCAGGCTGGGACCGGCCAGGCAACCTCACCGAGCAGCCCCCGCCCCACTCAGGCCGCCGCCTCCGGCGAAAGCCTCGCTGCCTCCGGCGCCTCCGCGTCACGTGGCCCCTCGCCGGGTGACGCCGAACCGTGATTCCCAGGCGGCAGCGCGGCCTCCCGAGCGGAGCTGATGCTAACGCGGCGGCCATGTTTGTTGATGGCACTTGGCGTTTCTCACGCCAACTGCAGGATGAGCTTGGAGGCGCACAGCCATCCGACCCCAGGAAAGATGCAGGGGCGGATCTCGCGTGACTGGACCTCACTCCCACTGGGGGGCCGACAGCTTCATCCTCAGGGGCTCAGGCAGGCTGACCCCCGCGCCCTAGCACCTAATTACGGTTGGACCTTGCCTGGGTGAGAGTCGGTGCATTTTGCTGGAGAAAATCTCCCGGTTGAGTCCTACTCCCTTACTCTGGCCAAGTACACCGTTTTGCTATCAAGCTCAAACCTCTCTCGTGTGTCAGGCAATGGTTGTCTTAGACGAATTTTTTGGCTCACTTTAGCAGAAGAGGAAACAGGCTGCCGACTTGTCAGGTTACACACCTGGTTAAGTGCTGGAGCTGGGATTTCTGACTCCAAGCCAAAGCCCTTTCCATTGCACCATCCTGGGCTCTACACAAAGTGTGATGTTATAGAGATGAGCTGCCTTTCTCAGGAGGACAAATGATCAATCAGGTGGCTTCTAAGTCTGGGAAATTTATATTAGCCTAGTAAAGTGCCCATAGTCACCCAGAAAAGTTAGGACTTTGATAAAGGCTAATTTTTTAAATTAAGAGGACTTCAAATTAAAATTAATCCCATGTATGCCTGCTCCTTCCCCAAACCCTAAACGACAGTAAAGAAATGAAAAGGGAATAACCCCCCAAAACAAAATGAACAAGAGATGACTGCATATGACACTTCTGGAAGGCAAAGAGCAATAACTATATTATTGTTACTATACAGCAGGCATTGTCCTAAGTGCTTTTCACATAGAAATTCATTCAATCTTCTTAACCTAAAAGGTAGATGTATTTTACAGTTAAGTCCACCACAGAGTGCTTATTTGAGGCCAGGCAGCCTGTCTGCAGATGGAGGAATTAGTGGAGAAAACTGTCTGCATTGATGATTCACAAAGCAGAATCCCAGAAAGGCTTTGGAACTTCCAGGTAAACATGCCTGGAAGGCAGAAGGGAGGGGAGCAGTGAAGCAGGATTGAAAACCGGCATTGCTTCAAAGTCTGTATAAGGAACAAATACGTACTCAAATCTTCTCTCCTGTCTAGTGCAGCTGGGCTGCTACCCATCATTCCTCAGGCGAAAGAGTAGTTTGATGATGACCACAGGGAATCAGAGGGGCTCTAGACAAATTATAAGAGCGAGTTTTCCTGTTTGCATGGTGAAATGTTATTGGCCCCTTCTCTGCCCCTTTGCCCCTCGCAGAATGTTGGCACTCCTCTCCCACTCTCCCCCAAACCCTACTTTTCTCTGGAGATACTGAGCAAATGAAAGATCATAGAGAAATGGTTTATTTATCAGAAATGCTGATATTCAGCATCCCCCAGTAAGTAGATTTTCGACTCACTCACAAGAAGCACTTCCAAACATTTCTGTTTAGAAT